AGCTTCGATGCTCGAGAGGTGAGCGCATAGCAGCAGGTCAAAGACTGTCTCGCTTATCCAGCGTACAGACTGGATGAAAGGAAGGGTAGTCACAGTGGGAATCAACTCTGGAAGACTGAGGCCCTTTCGAAGCATTGGAGGATCACCGGCGAAGGCTCCTCGAAGAAACGAATGTGGAATCTTCGGAGCCCCAACAAACTTGAAAAATTGAAAGTAGGTGCCATCCCAAAGAATCCCGAACACAGGTACAAAGAAACCCTCAGTTGAGTTTTTCCAATCGCATGCTGTGACAACATGTAAGCTGGCAACCAGACGACAATTTGATAAAAAGGTGAATACTGACCATCACATTCGGCTATCACTTGAGCGATAGCATCCAAACGCTCCTTATCATTTCCGATTTTCAGCTTGAGCTGGATGATAAGAACAGAGACGGAGCCAAACGCCCTGAGGTAGTACTCGATTCTCCCTTTCATAGTAGCACGGCCCTCTAAGATGGACTCTGGGAAGCTCCTGAAAGTAAAGCTAAACTCTGCAATGAGGCGGTGGAATATCTGATACGTGAAGGTGTGAGGTTTCTGCAGGTGAAGAGGATGGGATCACTCAGACTGGAGAGAGGAAGCGGGATGTGGCCTCCTCGGTTTCATGTGCAGAAAGAGGGCCATATTGCTTTAACATAATATCCATGTCTTCTACAATGGATCTTAAAAGGTTGGTAGGGATACGAGAGCGATGGAGCTCGAAAGTTTCAATATCTTTGAGGAATCGAAAAGGGTCGAGTCCAACGAACAGAGCGATCTCGTTATACTTAACACCTGAAAAGCTTACATCCAAACTCTTCTCTAGATGAATTGGAGTTGAGACCAAAACTATATTTTAATAAGGCGAAGGGACACACCCAGAACAATTTTTTGTAAAGAACTCAAGCTGAAGTCATACTCATCGAGAATATATAGAAGAGCAAGTGAAGCCGTGTCATGATTCTTGATGGCTTTGGAGAGGACTTCGTTGAGCCCTTCGCTGGAGATCACCCTATTGCCTTCTCCTCGTCTCTTCTTAGCTAAAGGCTCAGACATGGCACTAGAGCAGGATGATGGTGTGAAGGTGAAGAATTCTGCAAGTTTTTCGGTCCCGAATTGAATGACGTAGTGACTGTAACAAAGTTTTCGTGGTTGTTTTTCATTGTTGTGTCATGTAGCGGTCCCAAGTGCTGAGGGAGAAAGTAGTTTGAGAGCAGATCAACATCGCTCTGTGGACGCGCCAAAATATGTGTTTTTAAGTTATTTGTACTGTACGTGCACTACCAACAACCGCCGCGGCCTCGTTGTCACGTGGCAGTGCGGCTATCCTGTCTGGTACTTACGGGGTCATCAATTTGCATGATTTGGGAAACCTCTTACTATCATTTTTGGAGAAGTATGGGTGATCTCCTGCTTGGCTCTTTAAATCTGATGCGAGTTCAGCCTTCAGATTGCTTCCTTGTCACCTGATGGCAGGCTCAACAAGCGATAATGATTGATGGTCAATATCATATTGATCATTGTTGCATCTTCGGGAACCGGGCTTTGGGAGCGATTTGGAGTACCTTTTATGCTCTGGTCCTTTGGATTGGCATTGAAGAGAAAAACTTACCTGGACTCTTGCATTATGTCAATGTTTTTTCCTTCGAGCCCTGCGAGGATTTGGAACTTTATGTTCCATATGGTTTGACCTACCCCCACAAACAAGTTGAATTACTCAATTTATTCGATGAGGTAGGAATCCCTCATGATAAGAGGAAGCAAGAATTTGAACTCACAATTATTGGTCTCTGTGTGTGCCTTGAGACCTTAACGATTGTGATGCTGGATGAAAAGAGAGATACAGTCATGACCCATTTAATGAAACACACCATTCAATGAACCAACCTTCATCAAATGCTTGTGCTGGACACAATTCAACATTCTGACTCAAGCAACTCTGCAGAAAAGCACATTAGTCTAACCCCCATCCATGGCCTGAAGGCTGGGGAATCACTGCACTGTTGCCACTGTTAGCACCTGCTTAAGTTTAGAATTCCATTGAATTTGAATAAACTGTATTCTTTGCCTTCACCCCCAGCGTCTGCAAAACATTCCAGGCTTCAATATGACACCCTGGGCACATAGCCAGGATTATGGGCTAGCTGTAACAACAGGCCTCAGGCCAAGAGAGTGAGAGTATCAAACAGGAGGCATTGCTGAAGTTGGCAGATCTGCATTCCTAATTGGGCCAACCCCCACTGCTGTGTCAACTCTGTCATATCCATGTTGTGGTTACTTCACTTAGTTTCTCTTCAATCTGTGCTCTATTTCACGTCACATGACTGCGGAGTCGTCCTTTACTGTTACCACTAGGTGTATTACAGTGCTCCAAAAAACTGTTGCAATGTTTTGCACCTTTCACTTGATGAGCTTATTGCACCCTAGGAATGGATCCTAAAATTGCATAAAAATATGAAAACAATGCGCTAGTAGCTTACTAATAACTCCACCAACTATCTAATAAATATGTTCATTTTTGGTAAAGCTATTTACTTTACAAAGGACCCATGTCATTGCAACGGTTTTTTGGTGTGCATTTTGGAGAAAGGAAAATCACATTAACTAGTATTTAGTATAGCCACCTTTTTCCCTAAGTACTGCCTCAATCCTCCTAGGCATACTCTCGATTAAATTCTGGCAGACACTTGGTTCTATCCTCTCCCACTCCTGAAACCAATCCCACAGCTCATGAACACTACTTGGAGGTTCTTCATACTCCCCAAGCTTCCTCTTTACATGGTTCCATAATTGTTTGATTGGATTAAGGTCTGGGGACTGGGAGGGCCACTCCATGACCCTGATACCATGGTTATTGAACCAGTTCTGGGCCCTTTTGCTGGTGTGTTTTGGGTTGTTGTCCTGTTGGGAAAGGATGTGGGCTGGGTTTTTGTCATAATATGAGAGGGTTTGCTGGAAGTCCTCTTCCAGGATTTGGCAGTAGAGCTTGGCATCCATCCTCCCATCAATATTTCATGCCATTCCAACTCCATCCAATGTAATACATCCCCAAACCATGACAAAACCACCACAAAACTTTTTTGTTCCTTGCACCAGCCTGTCTGTAAGAGGTTCATCCACCCATTTCCACACCCATTTCCTCCCATCTGAGCCCAGGCGATTCACCTTAGTCTCATCAGATCACACCACTCTCTTCCAATCCTCCAGAGTCCACTCTTTGTGGCTGATTGTGATGTCCATTCTCTCCTTATGACATCTGCTGAGGAGCATGGGCTGCTTCTTCTTCACCACTGCTTTCCAACCAGCCTCCTTTAGTCACAGACGAACAGCCTCAGTTGAGAGGCTAGTGCTGGTGACTTTTTGAAGAATTCAGGTGACTTGTGCAGCATTGTTGGCTTTACCAGAGTTGATAAGATGCATTGCATGACAGATATTGGTGTCTGAGAGCTTAGATGGGCAACCACCACTGGGCTTAGGAGTGTCAGGACAATGTTTAGACCAAATATGGGTAACAGTGGAATGGTGGACAGCAGTAATCGATAAGCACTGTGGCCAGAATCAATGAGAAAAAGCACTTGTTCAATTTTCAAAGCAGCCAATTGATGCATTTTAGAATTGGGGATTACAGCTTGAAATGCATGTGCATTTATGCTCCAGCAATGTTTATTTGTTTACTAGGGTGTATAGTAAACAATATCACATGACCTATCACATGATATTTTCAGTTTTAGTCCATTCTGGCAGCACACCAAAAAACCGTTGCAATGACATGGGTCCCTTGTGAATTAGATAACTTTACCGAAAATGGACATATTGCTTACATAATTGGTGCAGTTATAGACAAAATACTAACACATGTTTAACATATTTATTTGAAAATTTAGAACCCTTTCCCATTGTTTAATAAGCTCTTGAAGTCAAAAGTGCAAAACATTGCAACAGTTTTTTGGGGCACTGTAACACTAAAGTCCGACTCAGGAAGCGCCTATTAGCTGGGTTATAATAGGTTATGAGCCCTCTGGCTTGAAGAACTCCAAAAACGACGCTATTTTTCGATTTCTTCAATACTCTGCAAACACTTGCTCTAAACATCGCTCCTGCAGCTCGGTTTATTCATGCATCGCTTTGAAACTCATACACGACATCTGTTGCACCGTGCATACGCTTGTCCCTCGGTTTTGTCGCGATCACATCACTCTGTTGGCTACAGTCCCAACATTGATTATGCTGTTATTTGAACCACCCACTTAAGTGCCAGTGGTCAAAACTTCTCTCTTAACACCCTCTGTGCTGGGTGATTCGATTCGAAACTCGTACATCATGTACTACGCTCGATGCACTATCTTCTGTCGCACTTAGACGCCCGTTGTAGGCAGGATAATCGCCCACACGCAGTGCCGGCTCGGATACCCGTTTCCACGATTAGAAAACCACCTTTCATTCATGCGACGACTCGGTATGGAATTGGTATCTAAAAATAGTGCTAATTCGTACGATTCTGACGATACCAAGAACGTCCCAATCGGTGGAGATTTGACGGAGTTCCGTGTTGGAGAAGTTAGGCACAGCAGGTCACAAGCATGTGTGGGCATGGGAATCTCAAGCGGCAACCCAGAATTCCAGCCTTACTCATTCCCATGGCGTCTAATAAATTGGTAAAAATGCTCATTGGCTGCATAATAGTTCTATTCAGTCACATTTCCAATTTCGGCTCTTAATTCCGTAAATCCGTTGAGATATCGCTTATTTTCTTTTATTTTCATATTTTGCCATCATTTCAGATATTGATTGATATTCTTTTATTGTTACTGTTACCTTTTTTATTATTTCGCCTAATAAGGTATGCAGGTGCCATATGGTACCAATATTTCCCATCAATTATTCTAAAAATAATTGTTCCTTATATCCTGTACATACCGGATTCTGGAATGGAAGTTCTCCCTTCCCCCAATTTCTCTAAGGTGCTAGGATGCGCTAGAGTGGGTGTGAGTGAGTGGATTCCAACAGTAGGAATAAGGGCAGTGATCTAGCCTGCAACGAGTGGGTAGTGGACACTGAGCCCGGACCTTGCGGAAATCCCGGAGAACTCACCACGGAGTTAAGGATCGAGATAAGCAGAGTATAGTCAAGAAAGTAGGAGTTTAGGGAGTTTGGCCCCCACGAGCTTAGTCGGCATAGAGAGCCGTGAGCCCTCTTGCATTTCTGGTGGTCCTTACAGGGGGTCACTCTCATTTTTATGGACGTTTCATCAAGTTTTCACGCATCGTTGGAGTTTATCAAGTCTCAGTTGGATCTTATGGACGCTGGACTTGGAGTTTATCAGTTCACAAAAGGAGTTTACAAGTTATTCAAGAAGAGTTTTATTGCGCGAGTCTAGGAAAGGGTACATTGGGTATCTACATGGCACACATCGTTGAGCCATTTGGTTTCCAAGCCGAGGAGCACGGTCCTCAGCACGAGTTCGATGAGGTAGAACAGGAGTATGAGTACGAGAATGGAGAAGAAGGAGTCCTGGAGAATGATGGTGGCGAAGCACCGGAGTTGGATGGGATTCATCAGAGTGTGGCTGGAGTCGCGGCCGCAACTGTTCACACTGTTAGAATTCTTGGTATTATGGTGTTCGCTATGACCAACTCACGTTTGGTGATGTTGAGTCGTGTGGTGTTTAGATTTACACCTATTGCCTTTCTTGGTGGCATCCGTGCCAAAGTCAGTGCGCATTCATAGCGCCTGACTATAAAACCCCAATTTTTGGACAACCCAACCTTCCCTCAGTTCACGTACAACGGGACTGAGGTATGTTGGTTATATCATGTTTTAAATCATGTATTAAACATTAGTCCACCAGCGATAAACTCGCTAGGCGATTACTTTTTAATCTATTCTAGTTCACGTACAATGGGACTGAGCGATAAACTTGCTAGTCCGACATTTCATCTTATACACACAACAGTTACATGCATGCCAGGGCCATGGAGTAGAGAAGCACCGAGGTTTAGAGGGAAGAAGGTGAAGAAGTTTCTGTATGAGTTCGAGTTGCAGGCACGGAGTGCACAGCTGTCGAATGTGCAGAAGTGTGAATACGTTGTTTCATACTGCACGGAGCGGGAGGCGAAGTTTATCAGGACACTCACCTCGTTTAAGACTAAGCTTTGGAGTCAGCTCAAGTCGGAGTTACTGAACTTCTACCCTGCAGAGCACGAAGATCGAGTATATCGGATGCGAGACCTTAGAAAGTTCGTCAAGAAAGACCGCAAGATTAGACACCGATCTCAGTTCGACGATTATTGGCGGAAGTTTCAGGTAATGGCCTCTTCACTTGAGGAGAGAGGAGTTCTCCACACGGTGGAGCGCGACAATTGCTTTTTTAGAGGAATAAAGCCGAAGAGTTTCAGAAAGCTTATCAAGCACGAGTTGAAAGCGCAGGGTAGATGGACGGACCTTACGAAGCCCCCATCGATGAGCCAAGTTGTTGCGATGGCGAAGCATCTGCTGAAGCATGACTTGTATCGCGACGACGATTCAGATATTGATTCGGATAGTGATGATGACGGATCAAATAGTGATTCGGAGTCGAGTTCGGGTAGTAGTGATGAGAGTTCAGATGCGGAGTCGACGGATGATGATAGAATGAGGCGCATGGTTCGGAAGTGCCAAGAGGTAGTGAAGAAGGTACCAGTGAAGAGAGTCCAGAAGAAGTCGCCAGCGATGGCAGAGACGTCGAAGTCTGTGGATAAGAAACCAGAGCCGCCAGTTGCAGCTCCTAGAGTCGAGCCGGATGCGGGTTTCAAGTCCAACATGGACGATCTGGCGGATAGGATTAGCAAGCTGACGATTCAACTTGCTAGAGTGCATGAAAGACCTAGAGTCAGACCTCAGGTGTCCACGGGCGGAACGTTGAAGTGTTACATGTGTGAGGACGAGGGGCACGGAGTTAAGGATTGCCCCGAGACGAGAGCATTCTTAGCGGCGGGTGTGTTGAAGCTCGATGCCACCAATAGATTGGTTATGGCAGATGGAAGTAGGCTACCCCATGCTTTTGGAGAAGAGAAGTTAGCGCAATTGATAAGACAGAAAGCTGCGATGCGCACCACAGCCAACTTAGAATGGATGCGCAAGTCTGAGACAGCGATTCACGAGTTTGGAGGGTTAGGAGATGCTGTGTACGAAGTGTTTCCAGCCGAGAGAACGGAGAAAGAGAAGGGGAGGTCGGTGAGATCGAAGCCATATGAACGGCCGATGAGTCCTCAACCACCTCCACCCCAAGTTAGATCGATTCCGCAAGATGAGTTGAGAAAGAACGCAGCGCCACTGAGTCAGGTGTATGTTGAACTGCCGGCTAAGCCACCGGTGATTCTTAAGAGACCGTCTCCAGGGTCGAGTAGTCCATCAAGAATGGATGTAGATCGAGAAGAGCCACCTTCGCGAGACAAGGGAAAGCAAAGAGCTGACCCTCAGGTTGCGTCGAACCCGAGAGCAGTTTCCAGCTCGAGTAAGACTAAGAAGTTGCCTGAGAACGTTGAAGTGCAGGACCCGAAGCGGGCGAGTTTCAGACAGAAGTCAGTTCCAGCTTATCGATTTGCTTCAGAGTTGCAAGAACGCGTCAAGAACGACGACTTGTTCGAGTGTTTGATGGACCAGAATGTCACCATTCCGTTGGGAATGATCTTTGGGACTTCTTACAAACTCAACAAATGCTTGACAGCTGCAATGAAAATTCATAGAATTCCTACGAGACAGACAAATGTGGTAGAGTACATGATGGACGAAGAAGACGAAGTAGAAGTGGAAGTGAAAGCGATGAACACAGAGGTTTCATCGATTTCGAAAGAGGTAGCCAACCTCGACGCGGAAGTTAAGGATGACGATGATCGGGCCAAGTATACTTCGGCCCAGAGTGATTCAGTCAGTAAGACGGAACGGGCAGACGGTTTCACCATCTGTGTCAACGTAGATGCAGAGATTGCGTCAGCAGATCGAGTAGTGCCGAGAGTTTTGGAACTAGGAAGTGATGAGAAACTTACACGGACGATTGAGCACGGTAGTCGAGTGAGGCCCCGAGTGTGAGAGCCCCAGCTTAAAGAGCTCAGGCCTCCAGGCCTTCGTCGTAGTCCATGTGTGATGCGTGCGGAGTTGACGATTGACTCAGAGATTAGGGAAGATGTCGTGATTCCAAGTGTGGATTCGAGTTTTGATGACGGACGGGCATCGATTGCCAACCTAGATGGACACGAAAGTCAAGTTAGTAACGAGTCGTTTGAACGGATGAGCAGAGACGATGAGTTTGACTGCGTACGAGAGCAATATGACACGGAGTCACTGGCCAGCGGAGATGAAGTTAGAATTGGAGAGTGCGCGATCGTCCCTGCACCAGAGTCCCCAGGCAATTCGATTGATGAGACGATGGATTTAGACGAAGTTCACAGTAGTCAGATCAGACCGCAGGAAGGAAGTTACGAAATACCGTTTAAGTTTGACGACGACGAGTCGAGTACGATGAGCAGCGGCCACGATGGCACCTCAGAACGAGTTTTTCTTGGTACGATGGAGTATGAGACCAGCAACGAAAGTTCATTGGATGTGATGGCAGCGGACGCACCCAGATCACGTGAGTTTGATGTGATCGAGTCTGCAATGCCAGAGTGTTTGCCTCAGGCGAAAGTTGAGCGAGCGATTCATGTTCAGACAGCGACAACTGAGCGAGAGACAAAGTCAAGAGAGCTTAGGCCTCCCAGCCTTCGCTCTAGCATAGTCGAAATGCATGATGAGTGCGCGGACAGTTCAGAGTTCAGCGATTCAGGTTACAGCGAGCAGGACGTTGAGTTTAAAGAGCTAAGGCCTCTCAGCCTTTGCTCAACTGTGGTTGAGGAGTCCCTCAGCTTCAGTCCTAGCGAGTATTTGTATCAGACAGTTGACGACGACGAGGTTAGAGATGAGATTAGAGCGCAAGTGTCTCAGTCGAAAGATCCTCCGGCAATGTGGAGTGACTTGTGGAATCCGTACGGCCCATGTGGTTACTTCATGCCCTGGCACTCCTTCCCGATCGTCATGGATTCAGAGCAGAAAAGTTCAGATCAGATGTTAGGATTGGGTGACCCAGAGATAGAAGTTGTAGCGCCCTCGGAACCGAAGCTAAGCGCAGCGCAGCCACCAATTCAGAATGGCGGCAACGTGATCGAACTTGTTGAGACACAGACTATGCCATCTATGGAGACGGTCTCAGATGAGAACGGGAGCATAAAAACGCGCAGTTTTTCTTTTGAGTGCAACATGGCAGAGAGCAGTCACCCCAATGACTCAGGGAGAGTGAACGCTGCGAGAGCCTCTAAGCCAGACAGGAATTATCCAATGCAACGAGGATCTGCGTACCAGAAAGGAAGTCGTGGATTAGGAGGACTGTCAGGTCCGCCCCATCTTCGACCTCCTGTACCTGGGCGAAATTCCTCACCTCCTAGAATCACGCCCACGGAGCCTAAGTTTGAGCGTGAGATAGCTCAGAAGATCGATAATGTCAGGGACGCGTCCGGGGTAGAGGGGGTCCGGATGTATCGCCCGGCAGAAGGGCCCTCGCGGGGTGCAAACCGGGCGTGCGTGCTGGCGGGTCCGGGAAGGGACAGCAGTCCCTGGCCACTTAGACTGAAGTGGAGAATGTGAGAAGAAGGTTACTTCTTCGGTTCCCACTTCAGGTACATTTATGTACATGCGGCTTGAGTCACATGACGAGTGCCATGTCACCCTCAGAGACAGCCGCAGGCATCCGGGTATCCCTGTGGGGGATCCCGAGAGCGTCCGCTGCATGCGCGAGTGCTGGGCACAGCGGGGAGCTGTCCGGGGTGTGTGGGCCGGACGGGTCAATAGTACATTGATACAAAGGAGGGTGGTCCGTGTAGATAGAAGGAAATAAACAAGAAAAGGAAGATGAGAGGAATGAGATAAAGAAAGGGGAAGAAAGAGAGAAAGGAAAGAGGAGGAGAGACAGAGGAAGGAGGAGGGAGAGGGTTGGACAGTGGGGAGCGGGTGTGGTGTGGCCGGGTGGGTCCGGGTGGACCCGGGTCAGGCGGGTGTGCCCTGACAGATAACTACGCAGCGGAAGTGGCCCAATTGAGATGAGAACTAGAGGCGGAGAGGCGAAGGAATGCGACACCCCCACTGAACCAGGGACCCATCTCCTCCTCGCCGAAGTCGAAAGAGAGAACGCCAGATCTGAACACGAGTAGGCGAGCGAATAAGAGGAGGCGGGGCAACTCACCTAAGGATGGTGATTGGAAGAAGCGCGATGGACCGTGGACGGCGCGGGCCTCCCCACCGACTGATGAGCCGAAGGACGAACGTTCCTTTGCCGACGTGATAAGAGAGGAGCAACAACGAGAGAAAGAGGACGAGAAGAAGAGGCAGGCAGATGATGAGAGGACGGCAGAGAAGAACAAAGTTAGGGAGTCACTGAAGCGGGCCCCCCACATGCCGATGATAGTGGCCAGTAGAGACGTTGTGGACTGTATTGTGGAGGCTAGGGAATGGACGGACGAGTTACTGGAGATGGGGCGGAACTTCAAGAGTGAACATGATGAGTGGGTTAAGCTTTTATACGAAGCCTTGAAGGAACAGGAAACTCTCATTTACCATCTCAACGAGCGGACTATGACGTTGATGGGTGGACTTAGGGAATCGGGCACGAAGATCCAACTCATGCACGATCGGTTCCAGCTCCAATTCACGAGAACGGCAGATGCGGCACATGCGGTGGAGAAGATGTTCACTGCAACTCACGAAGGAGAGTTGACGAATGACGATTATTATTTCATCGTCCTGGAATGTCTAGGGGTAATGCAACGTAGGATAGGAGATGGAATCTCTACGACGGATTTTCGATACCGCAACTTTGTTGCATACACGCGGTTGTTATGGGATGCGTGGGGGACGATATTCCCACTCCCTTCCATCCTACCACCCATGGACTATACTGAGTTGGACTTGGCGCAAGAGCAGTTTCGTCGGGAGAGGTCGGCAGAACGAGAGATGGAGGCAAGGAGAGTTGTGAGGTGGTGCACACCCTGTCATTGGATTCCGATCCATGTCTGGGTGAGTGCCGAATAGCTGTTGGCATGGTACGCTGGTTTGTGCCATGGGAACCAAGGCATAACACTGTCTGGACTCCGTTGTGAGCACAGTCAACATTAATCCAGCGAATTGAATCTCATGTTCCGACCCTAACAGTGCACAACATGTGTTGTAGTTATTTCTCTTCATTTTCTATTCAATCTGTGCTCCATATAGTGTCATGTGACTGCCAAGTCGCTCTTTACTGTTCTTACTACTGTAATAACACTAAAGTGCTACTCAGACTGAGGTATCCTGCTGAGATACAATAACATGCTCATATAAAACTTTGGCATGCAGATAAGTGGTGGGCTAATGATGGATTGACCTGGATCCCACTCGATAGCATCAAAAGCCACCTGGCCCGTTTGGAACTTGAGATCGAGGGAGGAAAACGATGGGTTACTATCACATTAAATCCGGTATGGCTCCTATCCAAATGATTGGTCGAAACCCATCTTTAATGATCTAAGAACTTCCACTAGGATGGCAATGGTATCTAGATTGGCTATGGGGGTCTATGGGAGGAGGAGGAGAATCTGGTTATTACCCCACAGCCTCGTATCATGTGGCAGTGCGGCTATCCTGTCCAGTACTTAGTGGGTACATGAGGGGATTGTCATTACAAAAGGGAGAGTATACGGGTGTGTGTCATCGGGGTTTATGATCCTCGGGGACAGAAGTCTATGGGAGCGTTAAAATATTATGTGGCATTGAGATGTTTTTATTTGTTTACTCGTATTTGTTTACTGTCGCACGACGAACTTGTTCAAGTACTAAGCGCTTGCTCTTGTTTCCAGCTACTACTAGCAATATTCTTGGCTGAGTTCAAAGTACTAGTGGTCTTCGATGTCGGCATTGTAGGCTATTGTATCTCAGCAGGATACCTCAGTCTGAGTAGCACTTTAGTGTTATTACAGTAGTAAGAACAGTAAAGAGCGACTTGGCAGTCACATGACACTATATGGAGCACAGATTGAATAGAAAATGAAGAGAAATAACTACAACATAGGCTGCCTCTCTCTCCTCTAGCTCCCTGATCACTTCAAGATCCTCTGGACGGATCATATCATCGGGGATTACCAGCTGCTCCCACCAGTCCAGAGTCGGAGATGTGGCCAGCTCTGAAACATCGAAGTCCCTCGCAATGAGACCAAGCGGGATTTGTCGCATGTGGGGAGGGATAGAATATGAAACGCCCTCTGCATGCACCGCAGGTTGATGTGTATTTTGAGGGATACTCCTTTTCCCCGATGCATCTACTGCATACTTTGCGATGCAAGCATTGTCCGGAGCATACATCATCCAGACACACTGCGCCGAATGTTACTGCTCAGCATCTGTACTTCAAACGAGTAGACTCTCGATAATACCTTTGATGCTCTCCATGCAAGCTGCTTGCATTTGAATACCCAGGGTGTTCCTGTTGGCTCGTCGGTTGACATATAATCTGACAGAACCAGAGAGCCTAGTTGATCAGGCTCAATCCTTAGCTTCTCTGCCACCCCCACAATCATTTCACGTCACCGTAGTGCTTTCTGCATGGACCGGCCTTCAGCTTCTGAGATGCAGTGTAAGGGAACTTCATACCGCAGTGTCCCTGTTGCGCTGTGCATTCCATTCACGATCACGGCTCAACTTGGTCTCTCCCTCTGTTGATCCGGTCAAACTCCACTGCTCCCGTAAGTGACTGAAGTAACCCTTGATGCCGGTGTCAAGCATCCCTTGGGTCAAACTGCCATCGTCGAGCTTCTTTTTGAACTCCTATAGGGTTGCTCAGGTGTTGGGATTACAGCATACCAATCTCAACTTACTTCATTGTTAGAGCAGACTCGAACTACCTTGTTAATCACCGCTTTGTTGGCTGTATTGGTTAAACCAGCATCAAAATCTGGCTGGAGAATCTCTGTGCCATCTGCCCTCAGAGTTGACCTTTCTTGCTCGAGGTAAATGGCTCGCAGTTCCTTGCCAGATGGTCGTCGAATGTTGCATCCAATTATGTCTAAAAAAGTTTCCCTCATGATTTTCTGTTGGAGTTCGTCAGCTCAAGCAGACCTCTGTGAGCATGGTTACTTAGTTGAAGGCCCTTTGGCCATTTCTTCTTTCCTCTCATGGCAGAAGGGCTCTCTGTATGGAGATCAGTACTAGTACTGTTCTTCAGCTCCTCCAGCCGAGCATCAATAGTGGTCTCTACTAGTGCTCGGAACTCAGGCAGCAGTGCCTTTCTTATCGCTGCAATGTCTTCCTCACACAATGAAGGCATCTGACTGGTACTCTGACTACTACTCTGACTGGAGTTCAAAGATGATTGGCTGAAACTGTGGCTTGAAATGGATGGAGGAATACTTGTATCTGGGAACGCATGGTGGTGGCTATTTGGGTGCATGGCCTCACTCATTGGAGGTATGTATACTGGGGTTGGTGTCCCTGTTGGCCCAGCGATCAGTACTTACTTGCTTCAAGCTCGCAGAAAGTTGAGACATATGTACCTCCAGCCCAGTATCCATTGAAGTGCGCGCTTGCCCAAGGTGGGGCTCCAAACTGACCTTGTTCAGCCATATAGGCACCTGCCATTTGGCTGGTATTTGGAGTTCTAGGCACTTGTTGGACATTGGAGAGGGTTGCATTGGGGTGATTGTCTGCTGACCCAGGGCCGGAAGGTATGGATGTGGCCATTTTGAGACTTGACCTTAAATTCATGTGTTACCTCAGGGCTCTGTTCAACGAGTGCACTAGTACTGTGTACAAACTCGCTAGCTGATCCTGAGCTTTGGAAAAGCTCAGGACGTTGTATTTGGATGTATTTACTGTGAAAACTTTTGACCAATATATCAATATATTTGCAATTCATAATGTCAGCGATATCCTGGTTTTATTCAAGAGTGTTTATGAGCAATATATCCCCATGACCCTTCTTGGGCTGTCTTGTATCCATGTTGTATCCGAGAAATATGACGGGGGGTAACTGGTTATATTCGATATGGAATACTTCAATATCCAGTGTCGGATACTTCCAGGATTCCATGGGGATTCTGGTAATATCCGAGCTTGGATATTTTACCTCAAAATGCAGTGACTCACAACTCAGGTCTGGGGGGGGGTAGGTCTCTCTATCTCTAGGGTAGGTGTGTGGTCCTTTTGAGTATGGTGCTGATACTCTGTGTAACCTCTAACTAACTGTCTGTACAGTTGTCATGGAAGAGTCCGATACAAACATAAAAAGAAAGTCACATGTGTGAATGAATGAAAGAAGTGACACATCACCCCAAGAAAGCCCCTCATAGTCACAGATGTCCATGCATTGAACGAAAAATGAACCAGACCTGGTACCTTCTGTATCAAATAGTCAATCCACATCAGCAGCTATGATGAGAGGGGTGGAAGCATGCCATGAGCTGCTTTTTTAAGTCTGCTGTGACAGTTTCTGACCGCTCCATAATAAGTTTGGTAAGTTTTGTCCAGTGAGGAAGGTCCTTCTCCTTGTAGTGCAGGGAACTATCAAGGCCTGCATGGGCTTGATATCTCATCTAATCACACAATGAGTCTGAATCAATGAGGTCAAAGGCCTAGGGAAAGTTAGTTTTATTGATCTAGGAATAGTCGTCTCAGGAAGTCTCTTTATGGCCTTAAACAGAGCCCTCGCCAATGGTACCAAAAGCTCCATGAGACATTCCTGGATCTGGGCTTCAAGAGGTGCCCCAGTGACAACTCCATCTGGGTTTGGGCCAAAGACCATGTCAAGGTGATAATTCCAGTTTATGTGGATGATCTCACTCTAGCCTGTAACGATTTGGCTGCTTTGACTGCCCTCAAAGATCAGCTCAAGGCTAAGTTTGAAATGCAAGATCTGGGGGAGTTAAACTACATCCTAGGCCTAGAAGTTCATCAAAATTGCCCAAAACAAACAATCTGGCTCTCTCAGCACAACACACCCTTGACATCCTGCAACGCTTCCACCATGAGCATTGCAGACCAGTTGTTACTCCCCTTGGTCCTGACATCACCCTTTCCAAAATCGAGGATATGCCACAAGAGGAAAAGGACTTTATGCAGAGTGTCCCATACTTGAGTGCAGTTGGCAGCCTCATGTATCTAGCAATTGGGACTAGGCCTGACATAGCCTATGCTGTTGGCCTTTTAAGTCGCTTCAACTCCTGCCCAGGAAAGGTCCACTGGAATGCAGTTCAAAGAGTCTTCAGGTATCTCAAGGGGACTTCAGATTTTCGCCTTGAGTTGGGGGCATCACCTTCTGGGGGAGTTCAGTTTTCTCTGACTCGGAGTATGCTGGGGATGCCTCAAAAGCACTGTCCACTACAGGATATGTGTCTTTCATTGGCTCCTCTTGTGTCAGTTGGTCTAGTAGGAGACAAGATGTCATTGCCAAGTCTACCACTGAAGCAGAACTTTATGCTGCAAATGCAGGAGCTTCAGATGGTACTTGGGCAACACACTTGCTTGAAGAACTTGGATACCCCCAAGGCACATCATTCCCTCTATACATGGACAACCAATCCTCTATCAAAGTTGCCAAAAACCCAGAGCATCATGGGAGAATGAAGCACATAGAGACCAATTAGGGATCAGGTTGACTTAGGGAGGTTGGAGATCAAATGGGTGGCTTCCAGGGACAACTGTGCAGACATTTTTACAAAGGCCCTCTCTAGAGACCTTCATCAACACCAATGCTCCTTATTGGGGCTTAAAAGGCTGGAGCTGGATTGAGGGGGAGTGTTGTAGTTAGTTCTCTTCATTTTCTATTCAATCTGTGCTCCATATAGTGTCATGTGACTGCCAAGTCGCTCTTTACTGTTCTTACTACTGTAATAACTAAAGTGCTACTCAGGCAAGTCTCCTCTTGTATATACTGTTCTTACTACTGTAATAACACTAAAGTGCTACTCAGACTGAGGTTTTATCCTGCTGAGATATAATAATGCGCACCACAGCCAATTTAGAATGGATGCAAAAGTCTGAGACAGCGATTCACAAGTTTAGAGGGTTAGGAGATGCTGTGTACAAAGTGTTTCCAGCTGAGAGAACAGAGAAAGAGAAGGGGAGGTCATCAAGATCAAAGCCATATGAACAACCAATGAGTCCTCAACCGCCTCCACCCCAAGTTAAGACGATTCTGCAAGATGAGTTGAGAAAGAACACAACGCCACTGAGTTGGGCATATGTTGAACTACCAGCTAAGCCACCAGTTATTCTTAAGAGACTGTCTCCAGAGCCAAGTGGTATTGTATCTCAGCAGATACCTCAGTCTGAGTTGACTTTAGTGTTATTACACAAGTAAGAACAGTAAAGAGCGACTCAGCAGTCACATGACACTAAGTAGAAGTGCAGATTGAATAGAAATGAAGAGAAATAACCACAACAAGTGGTCCATCTGTTGTAGTTATTTCTCTTCATTTTCTATTCAATCTGTGCTCCATATAGTGTCATGTGACTGCCAAGTCGCTCTTTACTGTTCTTACTACTGTAATAACACTAAAGTGCTACTCAGACTGAGGTATCCTGCTGAGATACAATACCATCAAGGATGGGTGTAGATTGAGAAGAACTTTCGCAAGATAAGGGAAAGCAGAGAGCTGACCCTCAGGTTGTGTCGAACCCGAGAGCAGTTCCTAGCTCGAGTAAGACTAAGAAGTTGCCTGAGAATGTTGAAGTGCAGGACCCAAAGCGGGAAAGTTTCAGACAGAAGTCGGGTCCAGCTGTTTGTTTCAGAGTTGCAAGAACGCATCAAGAATGACAACTTGTTTGAGCGTTTGATGGACCAGAATGTCGCCATTCCATTGGGAATGATTTTTGGGACGTCTTACGAACTCAACAAACGATTGACTGCTGCAACGAAGATTCATAGGATTCCTATGAGACAGACTAATGTGGTAGAGTACATGACAGATGAAGAAGAAGATGAAGTGGAAGTGAAAGCGATGAACACAGAGGTTTCATCAATTTCGAATGAGGTAGCCAATCTCGATGCAGAAGTTAAGGATGATGTTGATCAGGCCAAGTATACTTCAGCCCAGAGTGATCCAGTTAGTAAGATGAGGCAGACAGATGGTTTTGCTATCTGTCTCCCAATGTAGATGCAGAGATCATGTCAGCAAAGCGAGTAACACCGAGAATGACGAAGTCAGGTAGTGATGAGAGACTTACACGGACAATTGAGCATGGTAGTCAAGTGAGGCCCCAAGTGTGAGAGCCCCAGCTTAAAGAGCTCAGGCCTCCAGGCCTTCGTCATAGTCCATGTGCGATGAGTGTCAAGTTGCATCAACACCAAGTATTACTGGATTAGGGATCAGGTGGATTTGGGAAAGTTGAAGATCCAATGGGTTGCTTCAAAGGAAAATTGTGCAGACATCCTGACTAAGGCTCTTCCTAGAGACCTCCATCAACATCAATGTTCCTTGTTAGGACTTAGAAGATTAGAGTTTTGATTGAGGGGGAGTGTTGTAGTTTGAGTTGTCTCTTTTCATTTCAATCTTCACTCTATATATATAGTCATGTGACTTTGGAGTCGACTTTATCCTTTCTACTTATTGTATCAAGGCTAAAGTCTACTCCAGGCAAGTCTTCCTGTATTTATCCTTTCTACTTATTGTATCAAGGCTAAAGTCTACTCCAGACTGCCCCAGGGGTGCTAACCTGAGTTGCTACAGGTAGGGCCTATTGTATACATTGGTGAAGTAGATCATGATCTTATGGCGAATGGACTTGTCGGGAATGTATTTCTTGTTGTGTGGAGCACCAAGTATGGAGGCCGGCACTTAAAAATGTAAGTATGGATTGCTGTAAAAGCGATGCGCTGATCAATATTTACCTTCATCAAAAAGCTCTTCACCCATCCATGGGTTGTCTGGATCTAATTGCTTCCCATGAATGGCCTCAAATAGGTCATATTGGGCAAGTATGGCATTTTCTTGAGCGATCATAACTTGTTGGTGAGTTAATGACCTATAAGGATAGACATGTGATTTGACTGCCAGGAGTAATAGGCCACACCAGCACTCCATCACGAACAACCAGTTTGCACATGGTGGTCCATTTTTCTCGATGTCATTGGCCAGGTGGAGAAGTGCATGGAGAGTGAGAGGACAGGTTGATAAACAGTTAGCCCTGTATTGGTAGTAGATCCTGGGGGATAGTATTAGCTGTGGTAATACCATAATAGCGATGCAAGAAAACAATAGGTCGTACTTTTCATATGTCTTGACTGTTGTAGTTAGTTCTCTTCATTTTCTATTCAATCTGTGCTCCATATAGTGTCATGTGACTGCCAAGTCGCTCTTTACTGTTCTTACTATTGTAATAACACTAAAGTGCAACTCAGGCAAGTCTCCTCTTGTATATACTGTTCTTACTATTGTAATAACACTAAAGTGCAACTCAGACTGAGGTATCCTGCTGAGATACAATAGGTTATGAGCCCTCTTCTCTGAAGAGTTTTTCGAAAAACACTGATTTTTCGCCTTTTTGACACACACTTTGAGTCCCTGTGTCCTCAAACTCGCTCTATCGCCTCAGTCGCTGCACGCATCGCTTCGTCGCAAACCCACGGGATACTACGCATAACGAACTACCCTCTGCCACAGTTTCGTGACGATCGACGCATTTTTGACGCTGCTACACCGACTTCTTATCATTTCGACTCTGCCACGTCACCTAGCACTCAG